TATAAATCTCAACATATTTTCATATAACTTTTAAAGACCAAGATCCAATCTAGATAATCCTTTGTAATAATTCCACCATAACTGATTATGAACAAGTATTTGCAATTTATCCTTAATGTATTGTCAAGAAAACAAAATTATCTGTAAAAATGAAGTTCACTCTGCTGAAGTTGCTCATGATATAAGTGCTCCACTCAGTCAACCACTGAATATAATGTAATGACAGAGGAAGTATCATGATGAAAAAGTAAGATCCATTCTTTCTTGTCTTGATAAAAGCTAACTAGATTTTAATTCATGTTTAACAATTCCTCTGAGGAAGAAAGAAATGACCACAAGGTTTATAGTTATATGACTGCATATGAATTCAAACATTTTATGTAATTTACTTGCAAATTAGAACAAATTAGGAACAAAGTATGTAGCACACATTTCTATTACATATTTCACATTTACCTATTTAAATAATAAACTCTTGGGCTTGGTCTATAATGGAGAAGAGAAAGGAGTAAGCTTTTATGAAGTGCCTATATACCAGGCACTATGCTAAGAAGCCCTTTACAAATTTTATCTCTTTTGATCCTCACAGCAACCCTGGGAGGTAGGTGTTAGGATTATCCTCATTTTACAGTTCAGGAAACTGAGGCAGAGATTCAATGACTTGCTCAGGGTCCTACAACTAGTAAATGTCTGAGGCCGAATTTGAACGCAGGTCCTCCTTACTGTAGGCCCAGTTGTCTATCCACTGTACTACCTAGCTGCCTCTTTTTAAAGCACAAGTGAACACTTTAGCAGGATGGGAAGATATTAAATAAAAGTTAAGTTTGTCTTTGATCAAAATAATAGATATTTTCACTTTACCATTAAGAGAAAGACTCCAAATGTTTAAGTCATATCAGTTATAGGCTGTATTTTAGGATATTGCTAATTAACATTGCCTGTACTTTGTGGCAGATACAAATTTAACACTTGACAAGTGTTACTTCTAAGAAATGTGCCATAGTGGCACATTATTTTAAGTCATTACAAGGTTAGATTAAAGAAGAAGTTGAGATTCAACTACTGATTAGCAAAGTTATTAATAATACTAAGTTAATATATTCATTTGAATTCTTTTCTGACCCTTTTCCTCTGGTGATGATTTGAATTTCATTTTTAATAAACTGAAATTATGGTTAGGTTGAAGATATTTTTCATTTGAATTTGACAAAAATCCTTCTCCCATTCTTTCCAGAGTCTCAATTTTGGGGAAGGGTTCCAAACCAGCCGTTCCTGATTCTGCAGCTACTATGCCTCACCTAGGTATACTCTCCTCCTGCCCTACCTCTAGCTCCTCTCTTATAGGAAGTCTTCCCTATTAGAATGCTTTAATCTGTATCACCAGTACCTAGCATACTGCCTAGTACATAGTCTGGAGTCAGAAAGACCAGAGGTCAAATCTGGCCTCAGATACTTACTAGCTGTGTTATCCTGAGCAAGTCACTTAACCCTTGCCTGCATACAACTGGAGAAGGAAATGGCAAATCACTCTAGTATCTTTGCTAAGAAAACCTCCTGGACAGTTGGTCCACGCGGATCACAAAGAGTTAGACATGACTGAATGATTGAACAACAACAATGAGGACACAGTAAGCTCTTAATAAATGCCTGCTGACTGGATGACTTTGTCATGGCAAGTGTTACTTCAGCAGGTGCAGATCCTAGAAGGTTCCCCCAAGTTAGGAAAGCTTTAAGTACAGTCCTGACAATAGGCAATGGGGTGAGGCAGAGAGTTGGCTACTTATTGCACTAAGTAATGAATTCTTTGGCTATGTTAGGAAACCTATGAAATGAAGAAAAAAAAATCATATTTCTATGTATCCCTCTTTTAATTTCCACAGTGACAATGGTAGGAAAAAAGGGAGCAGAAAATGCTAAGGATCACACAATTTTTAGAATGCTTCTAAAACTTTAACTGTTGGTACTCTAACCATGGGATCTTTGTCTAATGTCCAGTAAGGTGGCACACTCCTGAAGGAAATAAAGCCTATGAATACCAATATTCTTGTTATAAATAGAAACACAAAATGTAAAGAAATATTAGTTAAAGGATGTCTTACAGATGGTCCTCAGAGAGGCAAATAAAGGAGTTGACAGAAATGGTTTGATCTTGTGCCCCAAGAAAAAGAAACATCATTTTATGAGGAAAATATGGTTATTTCATCTTGCAATGCTGATGATGAACAATTAACAAATGACTACACGGAGATGATGGCAGTCCATACATGAGTCACTGTCTGTTCAGTACATGATGTCAGAGGGAAATAGTACAAAGAGTTTAACAAAATCCACCCAACCAAGTCAACATATATTTTGATATCTAGTGTTCTGGATGTGGAGGCACACACAAGGGAGAAAGAAGGAAAACACTGTCATTAGGAAATGAAAAAAGTCAAAGGATTATATATTGCATAATCTTAATGCCTGAGTATTAACTTCAAGAAATAATTAGGAAGGTGTTAGACACAGTGACCACTGAACTATATCACAAAACATGTGAATTGTCAACTGATTACTGACAACAAAAATCAACATAAATACAGTCATGGTAAGATCATAGGGTGATAGATTTAGATTGTGGAAGAGGCCACAGTGGTTACTGAGTCTAACCCCCTCACTTCAGAGATGAGGAAACCGAGATGACCTCTAGAAGTCTGGGCAGATTAGGATGAGAAGGAAAAGATGGGCTGTAATTTGAACTAGAAGAGAAATATTCATATTGATAAGATGGTAAGTCCACTTAAGTACTAAGCAATAGCCACATATACAAAGTAATTCCAAAAAAGATATTTATTTAAAAATGTGAATTAAATAACTTGAAGTAGGAGGATTTCATTTTAAAACCATACTTTCTCAGAAGAAATAACAGAAATATGCTGCTAATCTTGGATTAGGAACAAGTGAAGAGGTACAGCTTTATAAAGCTATAACAAAATATTTCCAAGAATTTCCTTGCAAAATAAATAGAAAATCCAGAATAACAATATGGACTATTTTAGAGTTCTGAAATTCTAAAAAATAATAATTTCACATGCACTTATTTTAAATGTTCAGTCACACAGATTAAAAAATATTCTGAGTATTTCCTCAGTTTTCAAAGAGGAGGTTACTGACCATATGAACACTATATCTAGGAACTGTGTGAATAAACAAACTAAGCTGGCTTGCACATCCCACTTTTGATTACTTGCCCATCTTCTGTTACTCTGAGAACAAATAGGCATGGAGTTTTCAGAGGTATTAAAGGAAGCAAATAAAATGCTGGGGAAAGAAGGAAAAAGATAAGGATTACCTATCTATTGAATCTTGGCCTACAGAAGACCTTATTGGATAATTCTGATATCCTAAGGGATGAGTAATAGGCAATTTCCTCAGAAGGGTCTCTTTCAGATTATATTAGATATGGCAGCAGGAACAAGATAAAACCATTTCCCCCTCACCAACCATCTAAAATAGGAGTATCTAGGTACTCCTCTCAAATTGAGTCTTGTTTGAGATTTACGTCAAGTCTGTGTAAATTCACCGTGATCAGTACCAAAATATGTTCTTTGTCTAAAACACACACACACACACACACACACACACACACTCAAAATAACAATAAGTTAATGTTTACATAGCCCTTCAAGATTTGCAAAATGCTGTGTATATCTCATTTGACTTTGACAACAACCCTGTGAGGTAGGTGCTATTATTTCCATTTTATAGATGGGGCCACTGAAGCTAAGAGGTTAAGTAACTTGCCCAGAGTCACACAGGTAGTGGATACCTGAAGTGGAATTCAAATTCAGTTCTTCCTGAAATCAAATCCACTGCTTTATGCACTCTGCCAACTATTTCCCTTAAATGTAGTTGAACAAAAGTGTGGTGTTTTTAAAGAAAACCTTGAACTATGAAAACACACATCTGTGAGCTTGTGACTGGTAGTTCAAAAAAGAAATAATCACAGAGAAGCACCATTTCCTATAGCAAGGAAAGAAAATGTATTAAATTTTTAGGTACTTGAATAAGACAGTAAAAGGAAGGTCTTTATACCATTCTGACAGTCAGCACATTGATTATGTGAAGCAAGAAAATGATATTACAAAGCTACTGATTTCTTATGAAAAACATCTTGCCCACAGTTCACTTATTTTTAAATGATCAGGACTATTCCATTGCAGGGAATATACAATAAAGATTCCTGCTATAGACAGATACTTAGGAGCTTTTTCTTCTACTGTATTGTGTGCTTGGGCTATTGACATAAGCACTCTGTGAATAAGTGACTACAAAGTCTGGGCAAGTGCCATGGTAAATGATGCTCCATAAATTTTGGCTTTGAGAGTTTTGTAACACTACAAGTGAAAGTTTGAGAGCTAGCATAATTAGAAGAGAGTTCCAGTAAAAGTTTATGTTATCTATCATTTAAAAATTTTTTTTGGTCTAGACTTATGATTATTTCATTGGCATAGAAAATTCCCAATGAAGAAACATGTCCTAGCAATGTATATCTGCAACTTAGGGCATTTCTAGGGCATTGCTCAGTAGGATGTATCAAGAGGCAGGACTTGAACCCACATACTCCTAACTTTAAAGCTTGTTCTCTACCACAACATGGTGTCTTAAAATCCATCATATTTAAATGAAATTCTTCTATCCCTAAACACACACCTAAAAATCAAATTATTAAGCTACTATTGTAGCTTGTAAATCTCACATTTTCCACTTCTCAGAGAACATATAAAATGTTATCAAGTTAAGAAACAATCTGGAGCCAAATTCACTTTTTGATTAAGGGAATTCCAGATACTGATAAAATATCCTTTTAAAACCGACAAAATCATAGTCTTATTTATAATGGATTGAACTTTTCAATGACAGATATAGGAACCAATTTTTAGCTTCAGTTTACATACAAAGGCAGAATAGCACCAACATTATATGTATACTGTCATACAATAACATTGGTATCTACTTACCCGCCCATCAGTATCTGTGGTTGGCTAGATACATTTGTGACACCAAAAATATCAGGGATTAAATCACCATTGAAGCTGAAATGAAAAATAATGAAGAGAAATTAAGTGTGTTCTGAAAATTTTATTAAAATCTCAGTTATTTTAAAGGGAAGGATTATATTTGCTTCCTTATTAGTATTATCTTTGGAAATTTATTTTAAATCTTAAATCATCTAGTTTGTAGTCTGTGGGTTTTCAGAGAAATAACCATGTATAAAAATCAACACTGCCCATTACGTCTGTGAATGCAAAGCAAATCAAACCGAGAAAGAAATTATACTGAGAGACATACAAATGTTAATAATCCTGACAACAATATCCATAGGATGCAAAGAATTTTTTTTTTTGTGAGGCAACTGGGGCTAAGTGACTTAAGATGCAAAGAATCTCAAGAATTGTAAGAGACCTGAGATGTAGGATTTTGATGTAAAGCCAGATCACCTCCTATAACACCATTGACAAGGTTTTATGTAGCCAATTTGAACACCTCCATAGCTTATTCTAAATACAGTTAGCTCTACTCATTAAAGAGTTCTTCCTCATATTGAGAAAATGTTTGGGTACAATTCTCTAGAGGTACAAAAGTAAGTCTAATCCCTCAGCCTTTCATATTCTGGAAAGACAGTTCACTTTCTAAGTTGTTTGTTCTTAGTAATCATTCCAAGTTCTTTACTTTAAAAAATTTTATCTATGTAATTTTTATAATATCCCTTCCCAAAAGAGTACAAAAGAAAAACAAAACTTGCTACAAACAGGTATAAAGAAAAAATAATAATTTTTTTCTACACTGACCACATTATGTGTGTGTGTGTGTTTCATTCTGCATCCTGAGTCCTTCATCTCTCTGTCAGGTGGTGGGTAATCATGGATCAATCATTAGTCCTTTGGAACTGTGGTTGGTAATTGCACTGATCAGAGTTGCCAATTTTTTCAGTTGTTTTTACTATATTGCTGTCACTGTATAAATTGTTCTGGTTCTGTATAGGTTTCTTTGAAGGCATCTCTTTTTCATCATTCCTTATAGGACAACAGTATTTCATCACATTTATATATCATAACTTCTTCAGCCACTCCTCAATTGATTGGCACCCCCAGATTCCCATTCTTTGACACCATAAAAGTAACTACAAATATTTCTGAGAGACTGTTTTGCTTAGGGCTAATTACTCCCTTAATCTTCCCTCCTAATTCCTCTTTCTCCCATCTCCCTTTCCCCTCCTATTTCCCCGTTGAATGAGTTATTTTTGTACCCAACTTTGTGTGTATTCTTCCCTCCTTTGATCAGTGCAGATCAGAATGAGGTTCAAGGGTCAGCCCCTTCCCCCATGCCCTCCTCTCCTCTGACACTCATCATCCTGGTACAGGTCCTTATCACTTCATACTTGGAATACTGCAATAGCCTGCTGGCAGGTCTGTCTGCCACAAGTCTCTTCCCACTCCAATCCATCCTCCATTCAGCTGCCAAAGTAATTCTCAAAAAGTACAGGTCTGACCATGCATGTCACCCCTCATACCCTAATCAATAAACTCTAGTGGCTCCCTAATACCTATAAGATTAAATACAAAAATCCTCTGTTTGGCATTCAAAACCCTTTGTAACCAAGCCCCTTCTTAATTTTCCAGTCTTTTTATACCTTACACCCCAGTACTTTTTGATCCAGTGATACTGACCTCCTTGCTGTTATAAGCAAAACACTCCATATCTCTGATCTCCAGGTATCTTTTCAGGCAATCTCCTATGCCTGTAATATTTTTCCTCCTCATCTTGGCTTCCTACTTTTACTGGCTTCTTCAAATCCCAACTGGAATCTTTCTTCTATAGGAAGTTTTTTCCAGTTCCTTTTAATTTTAGAGTTTACCCTCTATTAATAATGTCCTATTTAACCTATACATAGCTTCTTTGTATATATCAGTTTGTTGATTGTCTTCACTATTAGGTGTGAATTCCTTCAGGGCAGGAATTGTCTTCTGCCTCTTTTTTCCATCCTCAGAATTGCCTGGGCTCATAGTAGGCACTTAATAAATGCTTATTGACTGACTATATAGAAATCTACTTGTATACCCTGATTATGTGAGACAATTTCCCCTAACCTTCCCTTCTGCCAATGTCTTCCTCTTTCCATTCTTCTCTTAAGATCATCATGATATAACCGAACCACTCCCAAGCCTTCTAATTAGTCTTTCTCTATGACCCCTGATAATGATAGGGTTCAGAAGAGATATGTTTTATCTACCCATATTAGAATGTAAGTAGCTTTTCCTGGTTTAGTACTTTATCATTATGTGTTTATCTTTTAATGTTTTTCTTAACTTCTGTGTTTAAACTTCAAAGTTTCTACATAACGCTGGTCTTTTCATTAAGAACGTTTTAAAGTTTTCTATTTCATTAAAGGTCCAATTTCCCCTCAGTATAATTATACTCCATTTTTCTGGGCAAGTTATTTTTAGCTGTAAATCTATGTCCTTTGTTTTTTGGAATACTGTATTACAAGTTCTTCTCTCCCTTATAGTGTGGCTGATAAATCATGTATGACCCTGACTGTGACTCCTTGGAACTTGAATTCTTTCTCTGGCTGCTTGCAGTATTTCTTCTTTTATCAGGAAATTCTGGATTTTGGCTATAATGTTTCTAGAAGTTTTCATTTGGAGGTTTCCTTCAGGAAGTGATCAATAGATTCTTTCTATTTCCACTTTACCCTTTGGTTCTAAGAGGTCTGTGCCATTTTCTTTTAAGATTTCTTAAAATTAGCTATCTAGGGTCTTGTTTCAATCATGGTATTCACATGGTCCAATGATTCTTACGTTTTGTTTTTCTCTTCCATTTGTTTTACAGATCAATTGTTTTTGCTATTAGATATCTTACATTTTCTTCTATTTCTTCAGGTTCTTGACTTCATTTTAATATCTCTTGTTATCTTATGGAATCATTGGCTTCTATTTGTTCCATTCTAATTTTCAGGGAGTCTGTTGCTCGGGCAAAGTTTTGTACTTCTTGTGCAAACCGCTGAATCCCTTTCCAATTCTTTCTTCCATAGCTCTCATTTCTTTCCCGTTTTTTTCCTCAAGCATTCTCATTTCACTAACAAAACATTTTTTGAATCTTCTAAAACCCTTGCTTCATGTCTTCTAGGAATTCTAATTGAATTTGAATGTGTACCTGATCTGTGTTTTGAGGCTTTACTTAACAGATGTTTTGGAGTGATTCTCTTCCTACGGGTTTATATCTTGAGCATCCCTGTCATCATAATAGCTTTTTTAATGACAGAATTTTTTTTGGTCATTTGCTTATTCTTCCAGCTTACTTTCTGACCTTGCACTTGATGGTAGGGCCAGGGTATACATGTTTCTATAGGGAAGGTCTAGTCCTTCTGCTACTTTCTTAAATTATGGAGTATTTTGTCATTCCAGGATCTTTAGCACATCTTGGACTGGGAACCTGTAAGTTTTCAATGTTCCCAAAGTGGTCTGATGCAGGGTAAAGTCTTATTGCCAGCCCCCTCACGTGAGCTCTGCAAGTCCTGACCTGGGTTTGGGATGTGCAGTACCAGACTGCTGCTCGGCTCAATCACTATTAGTCAGGTTGGAAAGTCAGTTGGTTCAGACTGATAGAACTGCAGACTCCCCTTTGGTCTGGAATTCATGCCCTGGTCTTTCTTCTGTAGGCCTGCAGGTTTCAGAGATACACTGCTACTTTGCTTCTGAACCTGCTCCTCTCTGCATAGTACAGGGCCTGTGCTGGGGTCAGAGGGTAGGTAAGGGGCTCTTCAGTTTGGACTAGATTTGTGACCTGGAACTGAATAGTGGGTGACAAAGTTGCCAGTTGACACTTTTTCCTAAGAAAGTGCCCCAATATGTGCCTGTGGGTGTCCCAAGAAGGGTCATGCATTTCTTTACTTGCTTTTGTGTATAGCCTTTCTCTTGGTACTAGGGTGTCCACATAGAGTGCTCCTGGCCAGAACCTGTCCCCAGAGTCCATGGACCTCTTTATCTCCCTATAATGAGCATTGACTAGGCAAATGACTCACTGTGACTGTCTTGGATTTCCCCATCAGAATTTGGTCTGGTATATTTTCCAGATCTGTTTGGAGGAGTCTGGGGGTGGGGAGAATGAGCTTGCTGTACTTCTTCTGGCTTCTTAACCAAGTTCTTCCTCCCCTCGAGTTCTTTCAATCATTCCTTATGCCACACAGCTTAGAGACCCCTCATCATCTGGCTCATGCTTCACTCCAGCATGTCAGTACACTTTTCAAACACCACTGAGCAGTCAAGCTAGGTTAGCTAAAGCAGTGAGTAGTTGAAGGAAAGATAGGAGGATCTGCTGGGCAAATCAAACCAACAATCAACCAATCAATCAACACTTATTAAGCACCTGCTATGCATCATGCATTGTGCAAAGCACTGGGGATAGAGAAAGAGGCAAGAGAAAGTCCCTGTCCTCAAAGAGCCCTTCCCCTCCCCACTACCACTTTGACCAATATCTCCCTTCAGATGCTAATAGAGACAGACCACGATCTTGAATTCCAGAGACTTAATAGCAGTGTCCCACAATCAGACCTTCTTCTGGCCCAACCTTTGCAGCCATCATTGAGGGGAGAAATCATTGCAGAGAGGGGGCCCATCTTCCTCACCACCAGCAACAACTGCTGACCAACTGCTACCAACAGACAGATAGGCACAAGACTCCTGGGAGTGGCATCACCCTCCAGACTACCAGTCCTGCTTCAATCCTAGCCTTCACATCCACCATACAGGAAACAACTCCTGTAGAGAAAGAACTAGCCATTCCTGCCAATTGCCAACCAAGCACCACTCACAGAAAAGACAAGCCAGTCTAGCCGAAGCACCAGAACACTCTGAGGGACAGACAGGAGGCAAAATGTGCCAATTCAGTCAAATTACCACAGCTACTTTGACCATCATCTCAATCAAGCTCTGATGCTGACAACCTAGAAAGCTTTAGTAACAGCAATGCTTCCAGGCCGGCGCCTCAACCATAATCCTAGGAATCCAACCCTGGTGAAATGCAGTGTACCAAC